AAACCGGTATTAATTATTTTACTTAAGCATCTCACCACTCAAATCATTACATTCTTTCTTACGCATTACAGACTGAACGCCACTCGACGACCTAGTAAATAGGTAGTTCTCAAATTCGTAAACGTTCGGTTTGATTTCCTTCGACGGATCGGCGGAATAACATCGTTCGTGGTTCGCTAAAGTGAATCACTTGAGAACGAATCTTTAAGAACGAATCTTTTTAGGTGAATGAATCAAATGAATTAATTCAGTAAAAAGATTCGAACTTCCCACCTCTAATCCAAAGTCTATTTTCTTTTAAAGTGTTAATTATTGTATTGTCTGATGGGTTATTGCCAGAACAAAAATATTGGTCACAATTTGTGTGATCACCGAAAACATGTTTTGGTGTGTTTAAAACATCTTTTTTTATATTCTTTTTATTTTGTCTTGAAACGCGATATCGGGTTCATTTTTTCTATGTCTTATAGCTTGTCTTATTGCAGCTTCTATTCTGCAAATGTTCCGTTCCAACATTTTTCTGCCTGCTACTGGTACAGGTCCTACATTATTAGTTTTTTTCACTAGCAATCTTAGGTTATTTTCAATATTGCGTTTTAAATGATTCGAACAATTTATTTTCTGCACTACGGTCGTCGGTAAATTCAATAGAAATTAAGAAGGTGTGTAACTCAGCCTACGATTTTATATACAGTTAGCACCATAAGTCTTACCCCCTATCTGTTACTGGAGTCTTGTTAGGAAAATCGCCGAGACAGGTCGATTTTTGATTTCTACAATTTTTGTATGAATAGTTTACCCTTAATTTCATCCCTTACTGGAGGGGAGCAACCCTTTCGAAAAATTTAAATGGCATGGGGTGGTGAGTGATAGCTCATTTGAAAGAGGGTTCTATTCTCTATTCAACCGTGTAAAAAAATTTGAAATTTGCTTCATTAATTCTCGACTAATTATTGTTTCAGAATAACGGAAATTAACGTAGCGCACTCATCCTTAGAATTAAAATTCGGCCCTGCATGACTTCGTTTTTGGTTCAGACGTGAAGTAAGACTTTTTGCCATTAGAAGGTCACTGTTAGTCTAGTTGCTTTCCTATTTTGTGAGGTTTTGTTATTTTTAAACATTAATAAATCAACATGTAATGATGCAAATTTCAAATTTTTTTTTGCACAGTTGAATAGAGAATAAAACCCCCTTTCAAATAAGCTATCACTTACCACCCCATGCCATTTAAATTTTTCGAAAGGCCCTCCAGTAAGGGATGAAATTAAGGGTTAACTAATCATGCAATGTACATTGTAGAAATTAAAAATCGACCTGTCTCGGCGATTTTCCTAACAAGACCCCAGTAACGAGTTAGTTAGGGGGGTAAGACTTAAGATGCTCACTGTATAGAACTATAAAGAAATGCTGAACTCACCTATCTATTCAAAGACGCCAACACCTGTTTAATGAGATTTTGGGTAAAACCCTTCGACTAAAATCCAGGAAATAAGTATTAACACCTGTTAAATGAGATTAAGAAGTTTTACCTATAATCCATAAAGGGTTTTATCCTCAAATATTTTATATAAATACAATAGGTATAATATTTACAGAATTTTATTATATATTTAATATTTTAAGTTTATTTACCTACTTCCTACATATTTTATATCCTACCTTCTTAGATACAAACGTGGCACTAGTGTCCCACACAATAAATTTGTTGAAAACTGAAATTACTTTTCAATAAATTTACTGTGACCAAGACTTAAAGTATTATTTGGTTTTATCTAATATTCAACAAAAAAAAAAAAAAATAATTTCCATAAAAAAGCGCGAGACCCTTTAAGTTCTCCAAAAAAAAATTCCATTCGATTGCATTTATAAATATTAGGTACTATTTAACGCCACATCGGCATCGCCAAAAAGCAAAAGGTGAATTTCTAAGTACCTACAATAGAACGAGTGGCACAAAATTGATCGAAAACATTTTATCAAATAACAATTGATCGAAAAGAAAAATGATCGAAAATAGATTTGATAGAGAAAACAATTGATCGAAAAACCAAATATACAAAAAATTAGAAAAAACAAAAAAATTTCAAATAATTTACCCAACCAATGCGACAAAGAGCCAACGCTGGTTGCTTCGCAAAAAAATACAGAAGAAATAGAAAAATAAAAAAAAAAACTAATTTAGCTAACCTGTGCGAGAGTAATCAGTTAAATTTAAAGTTTTTAATATTTCTCATTTTTGTGTATTATTTTTTGTGAAGCAATCCTCGGCGGCCATGCCGCACAGGTTAGGTAAATTAATTAAGTTCTTTTTGAATTTTCTCACTTTTGTATAATTTTTTTTTTGCAAATCGCGAAATCTCAGATTAGGTCTATTAATAAGTTTTTTATAAAGAAAAAACTTAAAATAATTTACCTAAAATGTCCCATCGAAAGGCAACTCGACCTTACTGAAATACATATTTATTTCGAATTAATCACAATGCTTTGGTCTCAATGACGATAAATAATCGTTTAGCTCTGACAACATTAATTTGTAAATTAACAGTTCTTAAATCAGGTTTTGAAATTTTCAAAAAAATTTCCATTAGTGCCTAATTTACAGCCGCTTAGTTTAGTTTTCCCGGTAATAGGGACTAGATGGACGGTTGCATGGTGTCGTTTGATTTTTTTATATTTTACTAGTTTTACTGCTGATTTTCGATATATTGTGCTTTCATTCTAATGAATTTTAGATCTATTGTCTTTTCGATAAAATATATCTTCTATCAAATGTTATTCGATAAAATATATTTTCGATCAAATATCATTCAATAAAATGTATTTTCAATCAATGTTTCTATCAATTTTTTGCCACCCCATTGAACACTCTCAAAATTATTATAATTCGGTAATTTTCGCTAGTTTATAATAATTTACGTATTATCTAATGATTAATCGTCGATTTTAATCAATGTATAGGTACAAATCAAATAGTTTTGTAAAATATATTAATAATAATAATAATAATCGGGTACAAATCCTGCCGGTGACAAAATTTTTACTTAATTTAATTAAAAAATAATCCTAATACATAGGCAGGATTTCCCACTTGACCATTTACTGTTAGAGTCTAATTAACAGTGCTTTTCCTAAAGTGGTGCTTGGAATCAGTGACGAACCATACGCAGAACTCGAGACTAATAATCTTAGTAGTTGATGCCGATGACTAAATTAAAAAATAAAAATAATAATATTAATAGTAAAAATAATATCTTACCAATTTAGTAAATTTGCTGCAGTCCCTTTTTTTTCTGTAAGCATTTAAATATAGACGCTTTTTATTTCCTCTTTTGTAACTCCTTGCCATATTGATATTTACACTTAAAACCTCAGTAATAACAGAAACTGAGCGCGCTCGAGTAAAATCTTAACAAAATACCCTCCGTAAAATAATGCAAATAATATGGGTTAGTGGGCTAATAGTTCCTAAGAAAATGCATAGCGGCATGATATTCCCCATCTTTGTCTACCTTTGTCATGATTGGTTCGAGGTGATGACGGCGTTCCGCTCCGTCCCGTACCCTACTTTGTCCGAGTGAGGGCGATTACTTCTAGATGTAAAATAACACTGTTGTTGACCTTTCGTTGCATATTCTTCGATCAAAAAATATTACACATAATAATATACTCTAAATGCAGTTGTTAAGTTTAAGAATAAACGAAGGTTTTAGTGCAAAAATCATACTGAAATAACTATTATTTATGTATCAAAATATTTAGTGAACCTGACAGTATTTGGCATTTTTATTCTTTTTATTCTCAGAAATCCATGTGTACTTTTTATATTTTTTTTGCACCGAAACCTTTATCAATTCTTCTATGGTACGAATACATTTTTTAGATACTTAATATATTTAAAATTGAATGTGTGAGAAGTCTGGAACAAAGTGCGTTTTTATGACTATTCTTTTAACGCGAACGTAAACCTTAAATGTTGGAGTGTCTCACCTTGCTAAATGTTCATAGTTATTTTCTTTAAAATATTTTTGAAATTAGGAGTTTATACAGCCATTGTTTAAATGTTTATTTTTAAATTTTTGTTTTTAATTCTAAAAAAAAATTTCCCATATTTTAGGCGGCCGCTTGCCATGTAGTTGTCAAATTATTATGAGAGTTTTGTTACACGGATTGTTTATGGTTATAATTCAGTATTAACTTAACATAAGGCTCTAAAATTCAAAAAAGGCTTTCAAAATTAAATTAAGTATATTTGCATTCTTAATCCCAGTTATTATCAGTTTAATGTATTTTTCTCGTTCCAGGAAAATATGCAATTAATTTTGAACTGCGACGGCCGCCGGTGTAAAACAAGCGTCGTATACGTACTGATTCATTTATAAAACGCCTGTTCGTTCCTCAGATAAACAAACTCGCACAAACCATCCCCACTCAAGGTAGCAGTCATTTCGTTCTTTCTAACGCAGTAGCCGATGCAACAGCAGTCTGCGTAATATAAAACAATCTGAATGATTGCAATAAAGGCTTAATTATGAATGAATGGATTAGTCTAGCAGTTTTTCCTCATTGGGACTACATATCAAATTTCAATGAGAGATAATAGCGGCAGGCAACAACCATAAGATTTTGTAATGTCACACACAATATATAGCACTCTCTGTAAAAGGGAAGATCTTTGGAAACTTAAGGTTTAGTTATTAAAAAACAAATACATTCTTTTAATAAGTACCGTTATTTAAAATCTTTCAAAATAAACCCATTGGTATGGTGTAGAAGTGTCTAATAATCATTTCTAATGAAAAGAGCCTGCATTTTTTCTATCAAACAGAAACGGGGACCTTACTTCTTAGCTCTCTATATGCTTTGATCCCCCAATAATCAAATTTATTTATTTTTCGGCTTTGTGCTCTTAATTTGAAAACAATTTGTATATTTTGTAAATCATGATTATATTTAAATACTCTAAACGAAAAAAAAAAAAAAAAAAAAAATTCCACTTACTTTTCTTCATCCTTATTGACAAATCGACAAAGGAAAGTTTCCTTATCAAAATAACTGCTATAACTATCTGGATCCGCCCATTCCCCGCTAGGAGGAGATATACCGTTTAAGGAACACGGTATCGCTTGGGCGGGAAGATCCATAAACTTCTTTTCTATGGGGTAAGCCTTGGAAACGGTAGAAACATTGCCGAAATCGACGTAGTACACTTTGTATTGAGTGCCCAATACTTCTACGACTCGTGCCCTGTAGAGGACTTTGTCCTCGTCGAAGAGAGCTATGATGGGGGCTCCTTTTGCGACGCGGTCGGGTTTTTTGTCTTTATAGAATTCGCAAATTTCTTCCATCATAGTTTTGAAAGTTGCCTGGGGAGAAAAAATGGAAAAGTAAATACATCTTACAAGGAAAAATTACAGTTCAGTCAATAATTGTTCTTATTTTGATTAAATATTTATATCAATATTTGCTTGGGGATAAAATCTTTTAGCTCCTACTTAATGATATGTGAATATTTAAAGTTGTGAATCGGCATGAAAAATTAATGATAGTTTCCTTTATAAATTATGGTCCAAAAGTTCCGTTACGAAAATACGAGGTGCTAAAAATTTTTGAAAAAAGAAATTACTTATTTTTTTTTGAAACCACTTGAAATATTTCAGTGAAATTTAGTATGCAGTGACAGTTAATAAAGAAGCATATTTTAAAATACAAAAATATTTTCAGCTTCCGATATTTTTGAATTCCTCAATTAATTTGAAATTATGAGCTCTCTTGAGTTGTTTTCCAGCAGCGCTATTCTTGACCACTCGCAAATTTCAAGGTCACTCGTAATGTCTAACATTACGAACGAAATAGCAAAATGTGTATTCTTGGTTATACGCAACACATTCGAGTACTCGCATAAAACTGCGAGTGGGTATTATCAATCGCAAACTATTTGCGTGTGCGTTTAATGAATTGACTTGTGTCATATGTGTTTAGTTTTTAATTTAAGAGATTTTTTTAATGGATACTCGTATTAGACCTAATAAAAACCTTGATAATACGATTATACTATGGTTATATCAGTGCAAAGACCTAATTCGTTCCAGAATAATAATTTTATATTTTAAATGAACATCATTTTGTGCAGACATTTAGAATTTCAAAGGAATTGTGTCTATTTTTAATAAATACACTCTCGCCCTATATGAGACCTCAGATTAAATAGAGGTTAACGTATTTCATTTATTTGTTTATTAGTAGTAGCTTCAGGGTTTTTTTTGTGCCAGGAAACTGTAACATGGACCTTGGTAATAGTTTATCTGTATCAGTTTCTCGGGCATCCGTATACAGATGCCCTAAAGAAATCAGCAGTGCTTTAAATGAACCAAATTATTTTTAATAAATTTAACATTTTCTAAGAAATTTTAAAGAGCTAAATGCAGTCAGATAATGAAAACTGTCATTTCATAATACAAAATATTAATATCATGCGGTCATTCAGCGTGTCATTTTATTATAATTGTAACGTTGCCAAATTTAGAATGTAGAACCTTCGCAAGCAATTGCGAAGGGGTCTCAAGAATCTCATTTTAGGAAAGTATGCATAAATGAACCCTTCGCAAGGTTGAGTATACGTGTATTTGCGAAGGATATCAAGAATAGCGCTGCTGAGATGCGTCGTTTTTACCCTTATACTGTCCGAAAAAAAATGAATGTAATTATTGAAGATACAATTTTGCAATAAATCTAGTTGCCCTTCATTAACTGTCACTGCTTACTAAATATCACTGAAATATCTCAAGTGGTTTTGAAAATATTAATTAATTTTTTATTTTGTAACAAATTTTTGGACCATAGTTCATAAATAATTTTTCATGTAGATTCACACCTTTAAATATTCGAATCACTAAGGACCACCCTGTATAATTTACAGTGTCCTGTGATACTGACTAATAAAAATAATACGATCGACAGTTTACCTCCAGAAAACTACTCCTTTGGCTAATACGCAACAGGGATTGAATTATAACTAAAGAAAAACAGCAGAGAGAAAATAATTTACAACACTACTTTGGTGGTGATGGGTTACTTTACTACTCCTTTCCTCAGACAACTACCAGCCATGAGGGCGAGGAAATTTAACGCATCTGCAAATTCCATTACACAAATATTCTAATCAAGAATGTCTATTTCTTGCCGTTGAGTCCTAAGAAGGACGAAACCGGTTCAAGAATGACATTCTCTTTAGTAAACAAAATCAAAAGTAAACTGTTGAAAATTATTTTCTATTTCTGCTCTATCAGCCAAAGGAGTAGTTGTTTTCCAAAGGGAAACGGTTTCATATGGTTTCGAAATTTATTTTTCTATTTTCTTTTATATTTATACGTAATTTTTAGCCATTTTTTTAATAAACGGTGCTAGTCAAAAGGAAGGAATACATTCAATAAAAGGCTAAGTATTGATATTTAGAAAACTTCCAAAAAAAAAATGTCAATTTTGTTACTAATTTCTGTATTTTTTGATATAATATACGGCTATACAGAGTGATGCGTGTAAATAATAAAAAAATGCACTTTCCTGTTGTTTTTGAAAAGTCTCAATTTGTCTCAAAAATTTCATTATGTAAGGTAACAAACCTATTACATTACCATGTTGTCAATTGGCTGGAGTGTCGGAATATGGAATAAAAAATACGGGTGGTTATTTAAAAAAATGTCGATAACATCGCTAAATTTACATGCATCACCTGTATATCAGAATTTTAAAGGGATAATTTAAAACAAAATTGACCAGTTTTTGAAAATTTTCCAAAAATCAATACTTTCCATTTTATCGAAATCATTCCTTACTTTTGACTACCATAGATTGTGAAAAATATATAGATATATTATATACCACATACCTGTAATTTTGCAATACTTCGTGGTATTTTACTTTATACAAATAAATAATATTACAAAAAAAAAATTAGGATTAAATATAGCAATTATAACAATTATCAGTTAAAATGTTGATAATACAAGAAACTTTACTTTCAGTTAAAGCAATATGTAATTTTTTTTTTCTCCAATTTGTAACAGTTGTTCATTTCAACATTTGTATGTAATACTATGCGAATTACTTTTATATTAGCATCTCTATCATGTCAAAACTAGAATATCTGAGTAGTCAACCGGCTACATCCAAATTTTTTCAAAACCAATTTTAAAGTATACTATGCTACTTTATTACATGGCATATTCCGATTATATCATAAGCGACTCCATACCACTGAAAGCTGCTCTCAAATATGGGGATGAATTGCAAAACCGAATACATCCAACGTAAAGTCTGTTTCAAAAGCAGACCCATCCAAATTAGTGAATTAACCAACAATGAAAGATTCTCAGAATTTGGCTGAAGAAGATATTTGTGATGTTCCTAAAGAAATACCACAACCCAATATTTAAATACCAGAACCCAATTCGTTTAACTTAAAATTTGTTTATAATTTTTAGTTTTTTTTTTTTCTTCCGAAGTGTTCAAGTTTGTGTAACCTTAATTTATAATAAAATTATATTAGAACCACATTGCCTGTATTTTATTTAAAAATTTAAAAAGGAAATTACAAAAAAATATATTTTTCATATTTGTAATTTGTCTATGTCCAAACTTCAAATCTCATGATTATTGAACCATGATTTTTTAATTTGTCCCTAAAGTTATGTTAAATACAATGTAACATATCTATATATTCCGAAAATATTTCCCTCAAAGTTAGAAATATTGATATTTTTGCAAATATGTCAATATTTGCTAAAATAGATGTAGCCGGTATTGCAAGTAGACGACTCAATGTGAATGTTCCCTTTAGAAAGGATTATTATAATATAAAGATGAATCAATTCAATACCAACTTACCTGACAATTAACCTGTTGAACATAAAATAATCCAGGATTATGGAACCAACTTATAAGAACGTTTTCTTCGGTACCAATAACGTCGTAATCATTAAAAGTAGCTGTAGCGGGAGCGGCATCTATACTGGGTGTCACAGCGCTCACGTTCCAAGAATCTTCGGTGGTAGTAGTGGCATTCCAGGAATCCCCGCCGCCGTTTCTGTTATCTCGGTTGTAGGTACTTCGAGGTTTGTCGAAAGTGTGGCCACCGCGAGTGTTGTCGTTGCGGGTACTGCTCCGGGGGCCTTTGTGAAAGCCTTTTTCCGAGCCGCCGAAACTCGATTCAGATTCATCCCTGTGATGGGCAAAACAACCGAAATGTAAATTCAGAATAAGAGCAATGATAATATTATTAATTATAATAAACAACAAAATGATATTGGTAGTACTTATAGCGAGATTTAGTTAAAGCTATTCTTGCATCTAAGTGAGTAGTCAATAAATATAACTTTTTATGAAGTTCAATAGGGACAACGTAGATAAATAATGAAAGAATTCTCGATTCCTTTCCTATCAAACAGTTTGGAATGGATAGTTTATGAATAAATTAGCAATTCTTTTAGTGATTGAAAAATTCTGAAAACTAGGATATGAATTTTTGGAACAAATATCGAAATTCCCCCTATAAAATTATATTGCCTTGCTTTTTGGAGAAAATATTTTTACAATTGGCGCCTCTGCGAACGGTAAACCTTTTATAATTGATATTTTCTCATATGTCCAAAAATAACCGAGATATTGGTCTTCCACATACTAATGGATAAAATTACGATCTGTTTTTGATCAACGAAATTGCACACATCTATAATATAATACGCACCCTAAAAACGGACATTCCAAGATACATTTTTATAAAAAAAAAAAAAAAAAAATTGGAATAAGATCCCTTCTGCACTAAAGATTTTAGAAATCAGAACCACTAAAATCAAAATTGAAATCATTGCTGTGTGATAAAGCATATTGTAACTTAGACAAATTCTTCTGTGATGCAGTAGTAATTACATAAAACATTGATTATTAAAAACAAAATGTATAAAATGTTGTATGTTGTACAACGAATAAATAAAAAAATGTTCAGATATGGTAGAATCAAAGAGGTTAGAAAGGGTAGAGGTAACATAGGAAGCATTTACACGAATTTTGCCAAAACCGAAAAACTGGGTGGAAGGAGTAGGGAGATGTTCTGGGCCGGACTTAAATATTTGTACCTAATTTTGGTAACTAGAAAATGAAAAATTATGAAACGTTTTTTACTTCATTTGTTAGTACGATTTATTTATGATGAGGGCAATAACACTTTATCAATATATAGCTAGTAGCTAAGGGCTGATTTCACCGTTGTGTTAAACGAAGTTTAAATTACTAAACGAAGATTAAAATGACATTGTTAATGTAAAAATGTCATTCTAATCTCCGTTTAGTAATTTAAACTTCGTTTTATGTTTGTAGGATTGTCATTTTAATCTTTAAGTATTTTAAACTTAGTTTAACACAACGGTGGAATCGGCCCTAAGTAAAAGTTTATAAAATTATTGTAACAAAATAGCTACTTATGTGTTAAGAGAAGAAAGTATAACACTTTGGCTCTAGAGACAAAAAGTTGTCGAAACTGCCAAATGACTTTCTGCTCGAATTACACACAAGATAAAATAAATAATACAATTTTATTAGAAATGGGTTAAGTTATAATATGGTAAATTTATTTGACAAAAGCCTACTCTTCGAAGAGAAAAAAAAAATTAGTACTTACCTATATGTTGGATATTATTTATGATTTAATCATTTATTTACGGAAAATACTGTTCGATGATTTAAAATATTAGGCCAATTAAAATATTTTAAATTAGCCTACGTTTTAAAATACTTACCGATTAGCTTTCATTTATTTAATTCAAATGAAAACAGAAAAACGTGCGCCAATAATGTCAAATCATGACAATTCGCGGAAAACGTCAACTTTCTGGTTAGATTTGAATATGCCTACTTTGGATAGTGATAGTTCTGTTTATAAATACGGACCTAAAAGTGACCTTTTATGTCAATCGGAGAAAAAAATTATTTTTGCTTCACCATGCAGAGGTACGAAATCACCCTGTCTAGATCAACATATTTTGAAAGTAAGTAGCATACAGTGTCGGCAAAGCTGTGCAGTACTCGATTAAATTGTACTTAAGTACTCAGTTTTTGGTACTAGTGAGTACTTTCCTCCAAATGAGTAAAACCGTTTTCATTTTCACCTCTTTGAAAAAATGTTACTTTTCAAAAGTTTTTATTTTAAAAATATCGATAAACCAAATAGAAATTGAATCTCTTTCCTTTTATCTAACTTAGAACTTAGTTTATTTTTAGAATTTTCTGTTCAACCTAAGTACTTTAAAATTCATTGTTTTTAAAATACAATGTTTTTTTTTTTATATTTTTGTGATAATTTCACTAAAGCAAAGTGATAATGAACTTCTGTTTGGATTTTTATAAGTTTTGAAATAAGCAAAAACTTATACTTAATAAAAGGTGAAAATAAAAAGTTTTTCCTGCTCTTTTTCATTTCATATCTGTCCATTTCAGTCCACTCTATATATTATTATACATTTTTAAATATATAACTGGTCTTTTGAGTATTCTCTACTTGTACCTCTACCTAATAGCCGACACTGTATATGGTAAATAACTTTTTTGTTGTCTTATATAATAACGGAGATATTATCCACTACCACTCTAAGAACTATTCTGTATAATCAAATAAAAATAGCAATAGAGAGATATTGCAAGTTCACTTAAGGTCAGTTACTACTAGCGCCGCTCTTATTTTAGCATCTAAGCATGTGCAGATCGTTTATGTTTGAATTGAAAATCATTGTTTGCACGACGCCACCCAAATTGCTCCTATTTTTCCTTTCAATGCTTACCTCCGCCTGAGTTCAATCACCATTGACAGCTGTTTTTTTTATTTATTTGTTGGTGTTTTAGCAATTTAAAGTGTTCTAGTTATTCAATTTTAAGTTCAAAATGCCAGGATGTATGTTGAAAAATTGTATATACTTATAATACAAGTACCAATGTTATGAAAGATAAAAAAATATACTCGTTTTCAGCGGTATTTATTAACGTTTTGACATAAAGCGCCATTATCCTTTGAGCTGAATACTTCAGATCCTCATTAAGGGGTTTCAATAAATATTAAGCATCAAATATATATTTCAGAAAACAGATTTCATATTACTTACATACATTTACAAAAGGGTAAAATTTTGAACATTTAATTTAAATAAGAAGTAAATAGGCATTGTTACTAACAAAATTTTATTTTTAAAAAGTAGTTATATTTCAGCGTTCCAACCCTCGATATCACTTACTCGTAGTCCGTCCCTGGCACCACTTTGTGCACGTATTTAAAGAATTGGCAGACTCCCCGCTTCTCTCTTCTAACCGCTGCTCCTTCCATTACCCTTAATTCGTCACTTCGTGCCGCTAGCGTGCAGTTGTATGTGTGTGTGTAAGTAAGAAAATACTTACGTAAGTATACATTTAATAATTTATGCCTTTATTTTCGCTTTATAGAATATAGGTATGGCAGACTCCAGTGATGAGAGCGGTAATTCGAAAGAAATTCTCCTAGAAAGATTAAAAAAGCTCGAGAAACATATGCGTAAATTTAAAAAGCGTTCTCGCAAACAGAAACGCCATCATAAATCTCCTAAAAGGAGAAGCTCAACGAGCACGAGCCGATCAAGCAGTCGCGGTCGTAGCCGATCGAGATCGAGACATCGGAAAGGCAGTTTATGCAGCGGCTCGGTGTCTCCAACGGAACACCGGGATCGCACATTAAAAAAGGACGGAGCAAGTCGGAATCAAAGCCTGGAACCGCTAAAGCGCCAACGGCGCGAGAGTTTTAGTGAGTCACGCGGAGGCAGCGTGGACATAGAGACAGTGGCGGATTCAGGTAAGGTATCGCCTTCTCTCATTTTACATAATGAAGATGAATTATCGGATGACGTAATGGAAATTTTGGGCAACGACCCGACGAGAAATAACCAAGCAAAGCTTGAATTACATTCTGCACTGGGAAAAAGATGGGGTTACATTGCAAAGCAAGGTTTAAAGCAAGACGAAAAAGTCTCACTTTTAAATAAATACCCGTCTCCCCCTAACTGTGAAGACTTAATACCACCTGTCTTAAATCTTGAAGTATCCAACATACTTTCGGCCCCTCACGTCAAAAGGGATAATGGTTTTTTGGATATTCAAACTCATTTAGTATACGGAATATCAGCTTTAGGAAAAAGCATGGATGTTCTTCTAAAGGAAAACATACCAAAAGATGTCAAAGACATCCTAATTGAAACAACAAATGATGCAGCCCGATTATCGTGCAATCTTCTTTATGATATTACCAATATTAGACGTAGTGTACTCACCCCTCTGCTAAATAAAGATGTTAAGAGCTTAGTAGAGAAAACTCTGCCAGAAAAACATCTATTTGGTAATGATCTGGGGGAAAAAATAAAATAATTGAGAAATTTGGAAAAGACTGGAAAGGACCTGAAGGCAACTGCCAAGTTTTATCCTCAAGCAAAATATTTTTATGACAGGAAAAATACCCAACTAAGGGGTGCAGGTCGTAGGCCAATGGCCCCAACATCTAGCTCACAATATTTAAACAGGAGACGCCCGGGCCGTCAAGGGGAAGCGAGAACCCAAAAAAGGGCATTACCCCAAGAGGGAGGAGCAGATACGGAGAAGGAGATAAAAGCAAGTAAAACTTACATTGCTGGTAGATTACAACTATTTAATTAAAAATGGGAAAAAATCACTTCTAATGAAGTATTACTTTCCTGGATTAATGGTTATAAAATTCCATTTTCAAAAAAGCCTACTCAGCAATATTTTAGGCAACAAAAAAATTCAATGACTGAGAACAAATTATATAAAAACGCCATTGGCGATCTTCTTAGTCTAGGTGCCATCAAAAAAAGTAAAAATTGCCCAGGACAATTTCTTTCAAGGTATTTCCTACGTGATAAATCAAATGGTAAGAAAAGGTTTACCTGAACTTAAAAAACTTAAACTCCTTTGTTCATGCAAAGCATTTTAAAATGGAGGATTACAGAACCGCAATGAGGTTACTCCGAAAAATTTATTTTATGTCATCCATTAACCTAAGGGATGCTTATTTTTTAGTGTCTGTAGACGAAAACCATAGACAGTATCTACGGTTCCAGTTTGAAAATTGTATATATGAATTTACATGTTTATCATTCGGTTTATCATCAGCACCACATTGTTTTACAAAATTGT